ATGAATGTGTCTACTTATATAAATAAAACGTGAATATCTTGTTAACATAAATTTTATAATAACTAAGGGTATAAAAAAAATCTAACAATTAATATCTTAAAATTGAGTATTTATTTTTTATATTTTTAAAAAATACTGATAGTTGTTTTTTATAAGTAGACTTGAAAGTTATACATTTTTTGTTAGAGCTATTCGGAATGCCTTTCTTTTTATATGAAATTATAATATATTGTTTTTAACTCTTATAATTTCACTTTATTAAAATGTACTGAATATAAGATTAAATTTATTTTGCTCTAACATATCTCCGAAACACTATGACTTATTCGTGTACTAAAAAGGCAATAGAACGAAGATAATATTTAATATTTTTGGGACCCATGAAAATACTTTTTGTACACTTCCTAATATTTTCCCAACTTTTTTTTCCTTTAGCCCCCATAGTTTTTCTTGACTGAAGCAAAAACTCACTCTAAATTCTTTTTCTTATAATAACCAAAGTAGCGGATTTCTTTATTTTTTTTTCTTTTTTTTTTCCTCTCCTTATTAATAATGGCTGTGGTCCTAAAATAAATTCGGTTGTTATGTCTAAACGAGAACATAGATCCTAAAATAAAGAACGAGTGGCCGGGTCTCTCGTGGATTTCCCAAGGGACACTCTTACCCTTTTGTCACGGTAGACCCTTCTCAATCGTACAGATTAAGATCCTAGCCTTCCTCTTGAAGGGATTCTCATCACACAAAAATCAAACTTCGTTATTTGCCATTATGCCATGTCACGTGGTTACAGTGTCAGTGCTATTCGACACTCCTCTTTCCTACTTTTGGGTGAAATTACACTCTTTGGTTGTTTGGTTGCATGCATTTATTTTACGACCATCAGCCATCAATGTGTATCGGGTTTTGCTAGTATTACAGTTAACATTGGAGCTCTTTTTCCGCTGTCGTGCTACCTTTTACTCTACTCTTTGACTGGTTTCTCGATCCCTCTCCTGTTTCTGTCACTGTTCCGGATAGGTGAAAAACATGTTGCATTTAATAATTCATTTATTACTGTTGGATAGATGAAGAAAGATGCCTCCGAAATTCTGATCTCAGTAAGGCCCTATAGTAAATACTGTCGTCCAAGATCTGAATCTGATCCCTCTTCGATCTTGTATTCTAGTTGCATCCAATAAATGAAGATACCAAGAAGTTGATTTAATAAATGCTCACCAACTTAGCACAAGGCTAATTAATTTATCAAAATTTTTTAGTATAAACATATAATAAAAGTTCATATATAAATTTTTATTAAAAAGTATAAAATTTATTATATTCAATATATTAATAATATTGAATATTATCTAATAATTTTTATTTATTTATTAATTTTTTTTATAGAAAAATAGTTTATTTAATGCAAGTAATAGTACACGATTGACTCCTCCATTCCATTTCCACTGTCACCTGCTCAGCTGACAATGGGTTTGATTCATTTCAGTTATTTGATTTTGCGGATAAATACAGAGGCAAATATGACGGCAGCATTACGGTTGCACAGAAGTACTACAGATCCATCAGTGGCTACAATGTAAGTTTGTCTTGTTCAATTGAACAATTTGCCCTCGACAAAAAAAAATTTGAACAATTTGCCCCCATCACGATTAAATCTGAAAAAATACAAAAATTTCCCAATTGGAGAAATTGATGTGCACGAATAAGTATTGCTTGAATTAACAATCAATTCGTGATAAAGGAAATCAAAAGTGGCAATTAATTGAGTGTTGGTAATTGTATGCACAGGATGAATTGCTCTGGGCTGCTGCTTGGTTGTATCAAGCATCTAACAATCAATATTACTTGGATTACCTTGGAAGAAATGGTGACTCCATGGGTGGAACTGGTTGGAGCATGACTGAATTTGGTTGGGATGTCAAGTATGCTGGGGTTCAGACATTAGTTGCCAAGGTAACACTTATGAAAAAGTTAAAATCAAACATTGGTTAGCCTCTTTTATTATAGAATGTAATATCCAACATTAGTGAATAGTGGCTAAGCAGATTTCCATGTTTCTTCCTCAAAGTTCCTAATGCAAGGCAAAGCAGGTCATCATGCACCAGTGTTGGAGAGATATCAGCAGAAGGCTGAGTCTTTCATGTGTTCATGCCTTGGAAAGGGTGCTCGCAATGTTCAGAAAACTCCTGGTGGTCTCATCTTCCGCCAGAGATGGAACAACATGCAGTTTGTCACAAGTGCCTCATTTTTAGCCACTGTCTACTCTGACTACCTTGCTTCATCTGGTAAATACTTGAGGTGCTCTTCAGGCAATGTTCCCCCTGCTGAGCTTCTCTCTCTTGCAAACTCTCAGGTAATTAATTCCATCTCCTGCATTCATTTTCTTTCATTCAATTAAAACTTTGATGTTTCAATCATTAAAAGTATCAACAGGGTTTGAACTTTACCTGTTTAATCTTCAGGTGGACTACATTCTTGGGGAGAACCCAAGAGCCACAAGTTACATGGTGGGCTATGGAAGCAACTTCCCCCAAAGAGTTCACCACCGTGGTTCATCCATTGTCTCGATCAAGGTTAACCCTTCATTTGTCAGCTGCCGTGGAGGTTATGCTACTTGGTTTAGCAGCAAAAGGAGCGATCCCAACCTACTTACTGGTGCTTTGGTTGGAGGACCTGATGCATATGATGACTTCGCTGATGAAAGAGATAATTATGAGCAAACAGAGCCAGCAACCTATAACAATGCCCCTCTTATTGGTATTCTAGCACGACTAAGTGGAGGTCATGGTGGTTACAACCAGCTCCTTCCAGGTATTGTCATCATTATTCTCACTTTCTACCCCTCTCCTGGTAAAATTTTCTATTGATAATATAGTAATCAGGTTTGATTTCTTATTTACAGTTGTTCCCGTTCCGAACCCTGTTACCAAGCCTCAACCATCCCCCAATCCCAAAATAACTCCAACTCCAGGTACTGTTTGTCAAGTAACTTCACTTGCACATTGTATATAGTTTGGTTGATTACCTCGATATATTTGAACTGCAAGAATAAAATGAGATGTTGAGATCAAAATCTAACCGGTGAATTTCTCTTTCAGCTTCATGGTCAGGCCCAATTTCCGTTGAGCAGAAAATGACCACCTCATGGGTTGCCGATGGAAGAACTTATTACAGATACTCAACAGTGGTGACTAACAAATCTAACAAGAGTCTAAATTCTATCAATCTTTCAATATCCAAGCTTTATGGTCCAATCTGGGGCCTCACGAAGTCCGGTGATTCATACACATTCCCATCATGGATTAACTCATTATCAGCAGGTAAAAGCCTCGAATTTGTCTACATCCATTCTGCTTCACAAGCCGATGTCTCGGTCGCAAACTATGTATTGGCCTAAGAACGATCAATATGGCCTAAAGAGATGGGAATGGTTTACTACTGTATTGTGTAAGACTGTCTAGCCATACAAATGTGCAGTGAGGAGAGCTTCTTTATGTTTCCCTTTTATATTTTAGTGTCAAATCTTCTTCGTCTCTTGTGTATTTTGAATTTTATTAGGTTAGATCAAAATAGGTAGATTATATAAGATGGAAGGATCGGAGCAGAAAGGAGTGAAGAGACAAAGGCAGTGCTCATCCTCTTTCTTCTCCGCTTTACAACTTATATACAGTGTGATACAAGACAGACAGCGAAAGAGCGTTGTTGAGAAGTTAAAAAAATATGAACTTCTCAATATTTCAGAGAAGAGTCATCACTTGTATTTTTCAACAGCTTTGGATGTCTTTTCTGTGTTTGATGTTGTAAGCTTTGCAGCATTTTGTACTTTCTACAGATAACAGTTTGTGCAATATTATTATGTCCTTGTGCTGTGCATTGCTAATTTGCGAATTTGGTGATTGCAAGTATATTATTGTTAATTGAATATTTGAAAATTTTCAGGCTAGTGGTATATGCGAATGTGAAGTCTAATGCAGACTGTGATGTGTAAATATAAATTCTAACATGCGCTCTGTTCGTATCCTATTCCAAGGGTAATGTTAAATGCAACCATAATCTCACATAGCCCACAAAATAAGTGGCCAAAAACAAGGGTCAAGGGCGGCGTATAAAGTCTTTCAAACTTTTAGTCGCTCATTGTCCTGTCCAATCTCAGAAAGGTTATTATTTGTTGGTCATTTTAGGTTCCAGGGTTAGATTTTACGAGGCCATCTCCAAAATAATAATGATAATAAACTTTCTTAAAAATAACAATACTTGCTTAGCAGATGCTCTGTCTCTCTTTTAAGGCCATCTCCAATATTATTAAAAAAAAGAAATACTTTCTTACTCTAGTATTACACAATATAACATAAAACGCTATTTGAATTGAGACGGACACAGAAGGGATAGCATTTCAAATTGTGTAACTAAAAATAATACTAGACGTATGATGCACGGGCACTTTAATGTTATATTGTGTACTATAAATGCATAATAAATTTGATTTTGTTCATTGCAGAATATAAACAAAATTGTGTTATTATAAATAAATAAATTTTAACATATAATTAATGCGTAAATATGTAAAATAAGACATTTTATATGAGAAAATTTTAACTTTAGCCCCTCAATTTATAAGATTTGGTCATTTCGATCCCTAATTTTGCAATAGTATTCTTTCTCCGAATAAAATTAATTGGTTCTGTTACCGGCGGGCTGCAGCTACAAACATACTTCTGAAATAATTGTCCGGTGGTTTTCATGTACTATTATATATTTTTTATCCTGTCATTTTGGAATTCCATTTTTGGGTCAATGAATTTAGGAGTTGAAATTACAGACACATGTATATAATATGTATATATCCTATTTTAGAATAAGCCCAAATGGTTTTCCGTAAAACGTGGGCGCTTATATTCTGCTTATGTTTAGGCTCAAAAAATGCAAGGCGAGGCCCAAGTGAAGTATTGTTTTTGGTTTTTGAAAGAAAAGCTTATTCTTGACAAAAAATAAAAATAAAAAAAGGATAGAGAAGGCAAAAGAAAGAAGGAAGGTTCGTCTTCAACATCATGAACCGACTTTAGCCAAATCAGAATCAAAAGTCAGACTCAGCATAATTCCATTTGATTTCATTTAGTCTCGATCTCCGGTTTCAGAAGTTAGAGCAATAGAGTGGAAGATGAAGAGCGAAAGCCAATTGGTTGCACTTTGCTTAGAGTCGGCGTGTGAGAGCAGAGAAAGCGTTGAGAAGTGGCGGATGCAGAGGCACACTCTCCATCGCTTACCTTCTCCTCTCGCCGACGCTCTCCTCCGCCGCCTCATCGCTCGCCGCCTCCTCAACCCCTCCCTCCTCGAGTTAGTACTCTCTCTCTCCCCCTCTCTCTACTCTCTTCCCTTATTTTCAACATCACTCTCTCTGTGCCGTTCACATTGTTGTTTTCTCCGTTTGTGTTAGGGTTTTCAAACACAGCGCCGAAGAGGTTGATTTGAAAGGCGACAACTCCGTGGATGCTGAGTGGATGGCTTATTTGGGAGCATTTCGGCACTTGCGCTACTTGAACCTTTCCGATTGTCATCGTCGAATCACCACTTCTGCTATTTGGCCTATTACAGGTAGCTTCCTCTGTAACTGATATTGGATTTATATAACCATTTACGATATTAGATCACTCACCTTCGTGATGCTTAATTGGCTTTTAGGAATGACTAGCCTTCAAGAGTTGGATCTCTCGAGATGCTTCAAGGTTAATGATGCTGGAATTAACCACATTCTTTCCATTCCTAATCTGGAAAAGTTGCACATTTCAGAAACAAGCGTCACAGCCAAAGGAGTCAAGCTTCTCGCTTCTCTTAAAAACTTGGCTCTTCTTGACTTGGGTGGGTTGCCTGTAGATGACATGTCATTGATTTCCTTACAGGTATTCCCTTTTCAACTTTATACTGCATCAACTAAGGATTTCTACTTTTCCAAATCATGTTAAAATTACAGTATGTTTTGTTTTACATTGATGAAGATGTATACCACTTGACTACCTTCTTGTAATTGTATTATTTTTATGAAATTTGTTAGATGTTGTGATTGTGTCAATTCTTATGCTATTGTTAATGGATCTAAACCCTTTTCTTGTAGAGTTTATGCCTAAAGCAAGGCATTGTTTGCTACACCATTGATTTTTATTTCCAAGACTGTTTTTGTTAACGTCGTTGCTCATGTTCCGATTCTAAATTTGTAATAACTTCTTGGTGAAATCATTATTAATTGCTTCCTATTGTTGCTGATTAGTTATGGCTCCATTCATATATAATTGGGTTCAGTTAGCATCTATTTCTCAAATGACTGGCTTGAATTCATTGTTTGACATTGTTGTTTGTTTCGATTGGGAGCTCTATATATTGTAATTTTAGTGTGTGTGTTTTGCTTATGGTCTGTGTTTAGTTCTCTAGTTGTAAATATTTTTATATATATTTTTTATATATCCTTTACTGTTTCCTTTTAAACGCCGTTCTCTTAGGTACTGAAAAGGCTACAATATATTGATCTCTGGGGTAGTAAAATATCAAATGAAGGTGCTGCTGTTCTCAATTCGTTCCCAAAGTTAACCTATCTAAATCTTGCTTGGACCAGTGTCACAAAATTGCCTAATTTATTGTCTCTTGAATGCCTGAACATGAGTAACTGTACTATTGATTCTATACTTGAGGATAATAAAGCTCCCTTGGCAAAGCTTATTCTCTCTGGGGCCACATTCCTGAATGAAGCTGAAGCCTTATTATATGCAAATACAAGTTTCCTATCCTTTCTGGATGTCGCCCATTCCAACCTTTGCAAATTATTCTTCTTAATGAAAATGAAAGTAATAGAACATCTCAATCTCAGCTCATGCATGATAGGGGATGATTCTGTTGAGATGATTGCATGTGTTGGTGGAAACTTGAAAAGTCTGAATCTGAGTTGTACCAGGGTTAGTTCTGCTGGATTAGGCATTTTAGATGGACATGTTCCCAATCTTGAAATTCTGTCATTATCTCAGACACAAGTGGATGACACTGCCATCTCATTTATCAGTATGATGCCGTCATTGAAAGATGTTGACCTGAGCAATACAAACGTTAAAGGTATTTGATTACTTGACATAGTTGTTGCTATTGTGATTTATAAATTCATGTGTTGTAACTGCAGTGGCTGATATAGATGCTACTCTAGTTAAATCCTGCTATTTCTTCAGCCATTGGGTGAGCCGTTCTACTTTACCACTGAGCTGCTCCTCACTAGGAAATGTCTATGTTAGACTGCTTTAAAATCTGTCTGCATTTATCACTGTTTTCCTTTTTTGCATTTTTTGGGGAGAACAATAAGATTTGTGCTTGCAGACATTAACATATGAGGCTAACTATTCTTTCTTCTTCTGTTTTAGTTTATTTTAGATTAACATTTGTTTATACACTGATGATCTGATCTAGAAGTTGTTTCAAACCTTACTTTCATGAAGAGTAAACCTTATCCTTTATTAAGCCAGTTATTCAACTTATCTTGTATGTCCTGCATTAATATGTCAGGGAGGACTGCTTATTTTCCAATATTTTGTCCTGTATTAAAGTTACCTTGTAGAATCAAGTGACTTGTGTTGGTTGTTTCCACAATAGATTTAAATAGTTGGTTCTGGTCCTAGAAATCAAGAAATGCAATTAATAAGAGACTGTCGCAGTAGCAACAAGATGCATTCCATATTAAGAGAATTTAGTGGTTGACATAAGCTAAAGGGTTTGTACTATTGTAGTGTCATGCTGAGGCATGGGATATTTATTGAACTGTAAATGTAGGGTTTGGTACTAGTCAGAGCTTTTGCAAGGAATTGCTATTTGGATAAAACTTCCCTCATAATTTGTAAGATCTACTGCCCAGGACCATTCCAGGAACAAAGACTGTTCAGTACAGCCCAAAACTGCTAGTCCCAAGATTATTCACTCACGGCTATTCTAGGAGGCACAAATCAGTGGGACAATTGGCATAGGATGCAGGCACTACCCTCTCATCATTACCTAAGTTGTTAGTTGTGGAGAGAATGTATGGGTGTGTGTGGTTCTTTGTTACAGAGAATGTGTGACTTTGTGGGGTGATTACAAAAAGGGTGGTAGCATATGAGGGGGGTTAGGCTTGCTAATTTGGCATTTGCTTAGGCTTGAGAAGACTCATCTTCCAGGAAGGTCTTTCGTCACTCCATTATCGCTGTTATTGTTGACCAGTTTTATATAATTTCAATATTAAAATCCCTAAGTTCTTTCATAATTATTGCACATGAATTGCTAATTTAGGGCTTATTTGTTTTCAGAAAATGTTTTCTATTGCCACTTACAATTATAGGAAACAAAATAAAGTATCTTTTTGTAATGGTTTGTGAAAGCAGAAAACATCTCAAATAAGAAAATGTTCTTAATTTCTCATCTTACTTAATTACTTTAATAATTGATCAAGCTGTTTCTAAAACTTCATGCATATTTTCACTGATTATGCTTTTAATTAAATGTTATAATAGTGGATTATTTCAGTTTAATAAATTGTTATTTTCTTGTGTATTTGTTTTTCCAAATGCCTAAATAATAAATTCATCAAAATACTATATTACTGCATCATTCTCTCATTTTGTCTATATTATATCTCTCTGTTTTCTGCTTGTAGTTTTAATATTTTTTAAGCTTCCTATCTGTATTTTGGACTCAGGTTTTATACACCAAGGAAAGACTGACATGGATTCCCCGCTCTCTCTAGTGGCTTTGCAAAATCTTAAATTAGAAAGGTTGAATTTGGAGCATACGCAAGTTCGGGACAAAGCTTTATACCCTTTGTCAAGTTTCCAAGAGCTGAGATATTTATCTCTTAAAAGTGTTTCACTGGCAGACATCTCACTTTACTATTTATCATCAATTCCTAAATTGACAAATCTTAGTATCTGTGATGCGGTATTGACAAATTACGGGCTTGATATATTTAAGGTTCCTGAAACTCTGAAATTGCTGGACCTCAGAGGTTGTTGGCTCCTAACTAACGACACTATCATGTCGTTCTGTAGAAATCATCCCCAAGTTGAAGTCAGGCATGAACTTGTTACTGTATTTCCTTTAGACAAAAATGGACTCAATCATTCTTCTCCATCTCGATTAACCTCCAGGATTATGCAAATGGCTAAGAAGAAAGATCAAATTCTCATATCTCCATTTTTTATAGGTAATTGCTAATTACCTTCTAATGTTTAAGTTGCTAGTTTTAACTCTTTCATATCATTGTATTATTTTAATTTTTCATTTATTTTGGCATAGATCAAAGATTGAAGTATAGCAGGGATGAGTTACTTGCATTGCAGTTTACGTCTTTGCCTCTTGCATCTAGTAGTGAGAGTGGCAATTCAATATTTGAGAAAGAATTGGATTGAATGGAGAAATCTCCTTCCATATAATTGTGTGCACTGATGGCTTTGGTAATTTTTTGTTCATTTCTCTCTTTTTTTCCTTAATTGTGGTTAATGTTAAAATATTATTTTACTTTGATTTTCTTTGAATGATATCTTTCCCATTTATGCTGGGTATGTGCACTTTGTTGATTTGTAGGGAAGGCACGCGATATGAATAGATATGGCTTTAGGATTTCATAGCCCAAGTCCGATGTAATTTAATGTTTCATAAGTACAGCTCACCAAAATAAAAGGTGCAACTCAACTGCACGAGGTGAAAGCTGAATCGTGTTTCTGATGGAGAATTCGAATGTGATGGCGGGCCTTGGCTCCAACTTAGTTTGGCTTACATGTAGATGTGCAATGTGGATAAAGAAGCGTTTTTAGTAATATAATTTGGCTGACACATGGATTTTTTTCTTGGGTGTGTCACATAGCACGTGAAACATTGTTTCTGTAGGTTTCTAAGTAAAAATGATTGCAGTCATCAGGGCGGTCTTACTTGGAGGGAGGCATTAACTAAGCACGTCTTGAGTAAGCTGACACTTTATGGGATTGTATTAGGGTACTCGGATAGGAGGTGTATCTTGGGGGTTAGTTAGACCAGAAGGAACACTAGACGAGAGATTGAGAGAAACAGAATCTTGTGTTTTCTTCATACTCAGCTAATCAGAATTCACCACTATACAGTTGTGTTTTGACAAGAATGATACTGGTTGTCCGAATTTTTATGCTTTGTTTAGCAAAATTTCTTAAGTGCGATTACGGAGGGCAGTCCAATGCTACGTGCTTGTGACTCCAAGCTAAACATGAATTGGTAAATCATGTTATCCCTTTTCGTGGTATCAGTATTTTAGGGAAATCAAGAGGAATTGTTCGTATTTTGTTTCAGTTTTCAAATGATTTTTTTACGACTCGACTTGTGGACGTAGGCATGGTAGTTAAACAGAGATTTGAATTGTGAATTGGAATACCTCGTAAATTAAGTTGTATCGTGAATCGTAAGATTCATGATTATTGTTAAAAATATAATAAAAATATTTTAATATAAAAAAATTAAATACATTTATGTAATGACATTTTATAGTCTTTTTAACCAAAAAATTAGAAGATAATTATAAAATAGGAACAGTTGAAGAGGCAGGGGAGTGAGAGGGGCAGAGCGTGGGAATGAGAAAGAACTTGAGGGGACTATTAAAAATATGAAGTAAAAAACATTAAATCAAGAGAAGGGCGGAGAAAAGAAGCACAACGTTCGGGGACGGAGAAAATAAAGATTTTCTTTTAATATAAAAAAATGGGTCTTGTAAGGTGAGTATCGCATAGGGAATATCAAGTGGAAATAGTAATTTTTGCATTAAAAGTGTTTTTAAAAGTTTGAGTTTTAGTGAACCGGGTCGTGCTAACCGACTCGTTTGGTGCGCGACTTGGTTCATGGCTGAATCGTGTGCCACACACGATAATTGCAATTCAGGATCGATACTTACGATTCGTGTAATTCTAGCAGCGATTCTGGACAAAAAAAATACACCCATTTGATACGTATCCCTCAAATCTCAATTCTTGAACTGAATGTTGTGTATCGCGAATGTAAGTATTTAGCAGTTATAGCATTCATACAATAACGACACTGCTGCTACATCAACAGAAAGTTCATTCTATCTAATGCGATTTCGCAGACATCATGCAGGATAATTACAGCCCCCACGGGTGGCCCATTTTATCTAATGAGATTGAAACACCTACTTGTTGGTATATCGATACACCTAATTAAATAATTTGCACTTCAATCCTTTCCCTCTTCGGTTGCATAGCTTTATCGTTGGCATCTTCAATTGAGAGTCGCCGCCGCAAGGAGAGTGTTCTTCGTGTCTACCACCGTGCCGCGAAGTGCCCGAAGGATCAAGCACTTCGTATACGTCAACAACGTAGAAGTTACTACGGCAAGCTTCTCGACGGAAAGAGTGGCAATCGATCTGTTCGACGTCTCCGTCGAGTACTACACCAACTTTCATGGTGGTGGATAGCACAGCGGGGGTTTGATGACAGTTCTTCGTGTTCGTCGGTCACAAGGGATAGCGGTGGTTCACACAATGATTCTCATCATTTTTTTTTTGTGCTTCCTTTAATGCATGAATATTTATAACTCTTTCTCTTTTACACATTATCTTTTAGTGGGAGTAGAGAAGAGGAGGACCGGATTTCGTTGCCGAAGGAGATAAACAGGTTTGACTTCTCCAATTTGATTTTAAAGGGATTTTCGAATAAATAAAATGTATTAAAAGATTAAGATTATGTTTGTTTGAATTTTTAAAAGAATTTTATTTTTATAAAAATTAAAAAATATTTCTAATTTGGGCGTTAAGCACTTTACACTATAAAAATAAAAATTATTATTAGATCTACGATTTTGGTTTTGGAGGATCAATTTTTATGAGGTCCACCGTAAGCGCCACCATAACTTTAGAATGAATACCTATAATTACGGATTTATTATTTTTTTTCTGCTTCGCCTATCGTGAAATATATTTTGGTTTATCACAAAAATACGTTCCAGGAATAAAAGTATAAATAAAATTCATATTAAATATTGTGAACAGAATAAACGTTTGAATTTGTAGCGGGAAATGCCTCCATGACGCGACCTCTCAAAGGATATCTCAGGAGCTGGATTTGTTTCCTGTCTTGTACATTCCGTCAATGACATTCTGTGCACAAAAAAGTGAAGTCAATACCAAAATTTGCAAAAGAAATTAACAATTGAATGGGCAAACCGGCAATGAAATTGACAAATTGAAGGGTGGAATGGAATCAGAAAGATATTTATTTTGGCAACTACTTAGAGCCTAATCACTAGTTCCCTACACCAATTCGAATGTCCTATTATTTCTGCATAATGCATAAGCATTAGGATATCTATTATTTACCCTTGATTTGAGTTACCTCTCATAACTCATTTCAAATTAAAAGTCAAATCCTAATGCATGCATGTGTATTTAAGCGGTCACATCTGACATTCAGAATTGCTTACAATTCAATTACCACGTCCAATTGTCCTATTTCACATGCGTTTGTGATGAACTTCTATATATATACACATGACCATATACATAGGAGCTCAGATATCGTGTTGAGGTTTCAGTTACCATACTGGTCTGATCAGAGTTATTAGTCCAGTCAATGAATCCAATGGAAATTGAATGCTATTTTTCATCTTTTTTGCATGGCATATTAAGCATAAAGCAATCCAGAGTATTTGATAATTTATACCTGGTAGTATTTAAGCAACTGGGGCCTCTTCTTCTTAAATGTTGGAGTGATAAGGTCACGTTCCATGTCAAATGGAACTGGGTCAAGATGAACAGCTTTTATAAGCTCAAAACCTTTCAACTGCCAAAATAATAATAATCAGCATTCCATAATGCTTCAGGTGATGTACATATATACATACAGCCACATAGAAGGTAGGGATCAATTGCTATTGGAATATCACTTTACACAACACTCAGTCACCCTATACAAAATGTTTTTCATCCATCCAACTATTCAAATATAAGTAACTGTAGTAATATTTCAAATCAAAATTAAAAATATAAGAAAAGAAGTATCTGATCAAATTGTAGATGTTATCTTTTGCTTGAAAAGCAAATAATGTATGCTGAATTGCTGATTATATATAATTTTGATGGTATAGAACACTTCAGATTAATGTGAAATTTTATCAAGATGTGAAATTTCAATCCTACTGTGAATTTTCTGAGAATCAAATTCATCAAGTTATATATATTGTACTATAATATAACAAATTAGAGAAACATCAAAAGACTGAAACTAAATAGACCTTTTTATCCCTTGCAATCTTCGTGAGCTCTCCAATTATGTAACCTTTTGCCTTAGAATCTTCACAGAGAGAATTGTAGTCCATGGTTATACCATTCTCTTCTGCCCATTTTTCAAGCTCTTGCTTGTCGGGGTTAACAACAGCAACAAGGAAGGACTCGAAACTATTTCCGTAGATCCATATCTGAGACAGAGGAGGAAAAAAAGGTAATATCAACATGTTACAGAACATTGTCTGCTCATGAAAAGAAGCTGAAACCAAAACCCTTTATTACTATATTTGCTCTAAACTAAACCTTTTTATATCATTCAAAAATCTGGGCATTACTACAATAGTAGAGCAAATATAATCTTTTCCTCCTTTTTATATGAACAACAAATCGTCTTCCTCATATTTTTCTGTCTGTTTGAAGGCAAACAAATTTATTAAAAGAAAGGGCTTCAAAACCATAAAAAGGATTCACAAGACATACAGATTCAACAGCAGAAACTTGAACATAAATATTCTCCAGGTTTTCAACAGCAACATATTCTCCTTGTGAAAGCTTAAATATGTTCTTCTTTCGATCAATGATTTTCATGGTTCCATTAGGTTGCCACTCTCCAATATCACCTGTTTAATAGATAATGCATGAATAGAATTTGACCATGCAGCCAACATAGAACCATATATTATCTGAAGTTTGGAAAACAATAAACATAAATGAACAAACCTGTATGGAACCATCCATCGACCATAGCCTCTTTGGTGAGGTCTTCACGTTTATAGTACCCTGAAAACACAGTACTTCCCCTTATACAGATTTCTCCTCTTGGCGTGCTTCCAAGCGCATCATATTCCATTTCAGGAATAGATTCCAGACACACATCCACATATGGTATAGGAGGGCCCACCGTACCAAGCATGTCCTTTTCGTTTGGCAATGAGACAAATGATCCCGCACAGGTTTCAGTTAGACCTATTATCATTTTAATAAATGCACATTAATCAAGTCCATATACGTAATGTACATTGGTAATGCAATATATCTTTATGAGATAAGTAAAAGGAATATAAGCAAGGGTAAACAAGTTCAATTGTTTGAAGTGCTTTGGACAAAGCTATAACTTAGCTGAAATCCTACATTAACAAGATCAATCTTCTATGAATTAAAAAGATTTTGAAAAGAAAAGATGTTATAGTGTGGACGAGATTGTTCAAATTTTTTAACGAGAGCATACCATATCCTTGTAGGATATGTGCGCAAGTCACCACACGCAAGAAACCTTCCACATGTTTAGATAGAGGTGCTGCACCAGACAAAATAATACGTACATTACCCCCTAAACCTTGCTTTACCTGATCATGGTGCAAAAAGAATATTAGTCAGAAATTTTGTTATAGTTGCAGTTCGTAACGAGGGGGGTGGGAATTAAAATTAAAGATGTTACACCACCTTACTAAATACAACTTTGTCAAATAGTGGAGATGCCGCTTCATGTGATTGCCCTTTCTTCATGTTATGCAACTTGCTACAAAATAATAATGATGATCATGATATCAGAATATTGAAAGCCGTACTGTGGGACAACAATAATATCGGTATTTAACTTAAAAATAACAATATAACACAGATTTTTTGTGTGATTTGATTGACATAGGAACCCATATCTTACAGAGAGCCCCTGACAGGGAATGGTTGGTTTTAGCCAAGACAGCAGAGATATACAGAAACATGTTACTTACTATGAGTAGGCGAAATTGAACATGGTCTGTTTTACGAAGCCCCCTGAAGAAATCTTTTGTGTCAAACCTGTATATCAGATGGAGATTGAGATTTTTAATACACCCCTTTCTTATTTTTGTGACGAGAGGAGAAATTCTTCAAAAAGATGAAAAAGAGATAAGGAATTAATGCAAAAGGTCACACCAATTACTAAGAACAATTTAGAAAGTTGTTTTATCCTTCCTGAAATCATATTTTGGAGGCCTTTAGCTAACAGTTTTTAATCAAGCACATGTTCAATAAACTTTATTGTATTAGAGATTTATACGATAAATTTGACCATTAAATTTATTAGCACACGCTAAAAAGAGCTTATTTTAATTAACTGCACGAATAAGTTTACTGAAAAAAGTTTACCAAAGTCATAAACTATTTTTATAATATCCTCTAAGTTCTGCCAAACACTCTTTGATCATCAATCCGTATGATTTTAGTAATATTACTGAACTGTCTCAACAATGTTAAAAGTTTACCTGTGTACACTCTATCAAGCACACGGGGAACAGCACAAAAAATAGTTGGTTTTAGCTCCGCAGTGTCTTCCAATAACAATTTGACATCCTGCAGCCATTGCATGAACTTTATTCAAATTATTATCAAATACAAAGTTTGACTTTTCTTGAGATAATCATATAATGCCATGATTCAGTGATGAAAGATTTTAGCAGACACACTTACCCCACGCCAGAAACCTATGGAGGCCCCATGCCATATCATTGCCTCCTCAACGATTCTATCAAAGATATGTGCAAGAGGAAGGTATGATATGTATACATCGTTTTCATGCAGCTGCAACCAGGGAAAATGGGGGTAATTAAGAAAGCCAAAGATAGCATAGCTAAATATTCATTATCCTAAAGCTGAAAAGATTTCTAGAGCAATAAAAAAAATTTGGTGCTTCATAAATAATTTAAAGGCTTAATTTTGTCTTTTTTTTTACTTTAATGTGATTTTGATTTTTCTAATTTTTTAGCCAATTAAGTCATACCATTTTAAAACTGTACAGATTTGGTCCTTCCATTCATTTTATTTTACATAAAAACCTTATATTATTAATTTTTTCAAATATTTGAGGGATTTATGATAAATTTATTATATGAAATAATTTTAAATGTTTAAAAGTAAAAAAAAAATTGAGAATTTGAGTGCTTTAAGTAAAAAAAAAATATCATCAAATCAATTAAATTTGCGCAATTTTATAAGTAAAGAAACTTAATTAGCTAAAAAAAATTAAAACTACACGTATGTTAAAATAAAAGAACTATAAATATAGTTAAGCTTAATTAAAAAAACCAATAAGCATAACTAAAGGAAAAGAATTGCAGTTTAGTAGTTCTTTATACAAGTGTACCCTTGAAAGTAAGATTGATGAGTTGTGAGAGAAAAGTACTTACTTCTTCATTGCAACTTCCCAGCACTTGCTGAATCCCAGCCAAGAGTGTAATAATGCTCTCATTGGATATCATCACTCCCTTGGGGTCACCAGTAGTTCCACTCGTATACATTATCGTACATATGTCACTTTTCTTTTTCACGGGAAGATCAAAACTCTTCTCATGACCCTGCTCTAGACATCAAAAACTCGAATCAACCATTCAACCCAAAATATCCATAAAACCACATTGCTTTCCTTTCTCTTCTCTTAGGTGAGAGTTAGAAAGTTAAATAATGTAAGTGTATCTACACATTTTGAACTGAATGGAATATTTACAAGAAATCATCCTTATTTTTTGTCATTAATATTTACCACATATGCCACTAGTACACCATTATAACATTTTTTTGTGTGTTGAAGAGTAATTGTAGATGGAGCCAAGGAATTATAGCGGAGAATGTCTTAAGTGAAAATTAAAAACTAATAGTAAGAGAAGAGTAATATGTCACATGAATAACCCACCAATTGTAAAAATTCATCCCATGAGTATATTGTCAACCCAAACTTTTCAATCTCTTGCTTTTGTTCAGGAATAACATTTCCAAAGCTCACGATTGCTACAAAATAAATAAATAGATAAAGGTGATTCCTTGTTTCCAAATGAATGCATATTTTAACAAAGAATGGAGAGAATCAATGAAACTTACTCTTAAGATGTTTTGCTGCATTTGGAAATGCCTTCAACAGCTGAAAAGTTTCAAAGATATTATATGGATTATTAGATTGACTAGTAGAGAAAATTGTACTACACAATTTCTAATCCTTCTTAACAATATTACAACATGGATAATTTCATTAGACGTGAACCTCAGCTATTTTCTTTTCTTCGGCAAATGCAATTGAGATCTCTGCATGGCATATAATGAACTCCACAGCCCCAGCACCTAATAAGTCATATATATCAGTGTCAAAACCCACTATAATTAACATTAGAAAAACAAATATTAAAAATAATAGGACGGAAAATATTTATGGTAAAGTGCTGAAAAGGATCTAAGAAACTTCAGTTGTAACCTATAACGGATTGTCAATATGTGTGTTCGATGAGACTTTTTGTTCTTTCCAAAATAAACACTTCAAGCCTGAAGGACTCGTGTTAATAGTTGTGTTAGATATAAAAACCATTCATGTTCCTTCACTTAATAATTAAACTTTTGAGATGATTGGTGTTCGAAAATTTTATGTACTAAAAGGAAAACAAAATTCAATACGTGGTTGAGTCAATCCATCATCATAGTGTAGAAACATGCTAGAGAAGCCTTGCACATACCTAAGGTATCATATAAAGGAACACAATAAAGTCCATGAGCATTGCAGGCCTGCAATTATGTTTAAATATGTCAGAAAATATTGAGAGGATATACGCTAGTTTAGCAACATAAAAATGATCACGACTAGGTACCCACCAACCATATAATATAGAGTACCAAATAATAGAAAATAAACTTTGTGTGGAAGTTAGCAAACATTCAATGGATAGAAGTCATAAATCAAAGTTTAAAAAAAAATAATCCTTATTCTCCTTCAAACATGATCACAAACAGACTACAACTATCATAATAACAATACAGTAAAAATAATACAACACAAAGGAACAGGCAAAGATCAAAATATGAATACAATAGTAACTTCCATAGAACAGAGCAGAAAGAAAACTAATATGGACAAAAGACAACATAAAAGAAAAGAAACTCAAAATAAATTGTACCTCCATGCTCATAATCCACTCCGGGCAATTGGCACCATACATACCACATTTTACTCCCTGAAAGCCAGCATTATGTAAAATTAAGCTTAAATACACAAACTTCAAGAAAAGATACTAATATGAAAAGTAAAATATCAAAGGGATTCATGACCAAGCTATTCATGAAGATATCTAAGTGCATTACCAAGCACATCAATGTGAATCGCAAATAAACAAAAAGCAAAACAAGGGAACAACACATTATGTAGTAAGAATCCAACATTGCATTACCAAGCATACAAAGGAAACTTACCTCCCCATAACCACAAGCTCGGATGGAATTTCCAACTTTTACCACCAAGTCGTACACTTCTTGGTAAGTTTGCCATTTGTATTTTCCAGGCTACAAAAGGGTGTGACAATTCAATTTCAGAAGAGGAAATACATGTGCAAAATGACAAATGTGAGAGTGAGAAAAGAGAGTTTACATTCCCATCCACGACTTCACGGCGACCAAGCATCGGCCTTGTTGGGTATTTCTCAGCAGCAATCCTGTATATATAAACACAAAAGCACTCAGAAATAAAATGAAATAACGGATCCGGATTCTCTCCGGTTAGAAGCATTGAATGGACGTGGAACATGTGATTGACACCGTTGGTGTTGGGTTGTGTTATAACAATAAATATTAACAAGATTAAGAAAAGAAGAGAACATTGTGATTGGTAAGCATTGTGCATGAAACAAACAAAAATGAATATGCATGGTGCATGGTGCATGGTGCATGCATATAAACCTGAAAACATCCCAGCAGGTATCAAGGCCTTGAATGTGAGGAGGAAGTGGATCAGTGGCAAAGAGACTGCGATAAACAGGACCGATTGAAGGCTTATCATCAGTGCCTTCTCTGGCTTTCTCAACCTCAACGATGAACCTCTTTTCTGCCATCCCTCACTAACAAGGGGATGGTGACACTGCTTCTCTTTTGTTCTCTTCTCTTCTCACTCGCAACCTCAATCAAAACTCGTTACGTATGAGACCGCTTTTATTGGTCAACAATTTCAGATCATTACACATATTTTCCTCCGTGAACTAGCTAGTTAGTTACTCGTTTCCATATACTCTTTCTTTTTTAATTTTTTAATTTCAATTTCAATTTTTTAATATCTTAACTATATCCATTCTTATATTTATTAAAAATAGGTAGAAATTAATCCGTTCATACAAATTTGGCTTTTATTTTTTCTAATTTTCATCGGAGAAAAAGAAAACAACTATCTATTTGCATTCAGAAAGGTGCGCGCGGCAATGGCGTGTGGGAGAGGGAAGGGGTTTGATTAATATTATCATGTATTCAATTTTGTTTTAATCAGAATAATAAAATAAACAATTTTTAACATAAATAACATATCCGGTGTTAAATAAAAAAATTAATATTTTTTTAAAACTCTGTCAATAGGTTTTATATTATGAACTTTTAAATACAAAATATAAACTAATTTAATTCAAGCACATATCAAAACTTTTTATCTCAAAAATTATTTAAACATTTACTGTTTTTTACATGGTGTATTATATTTTGAAAATATATTAGCTATATACATTAAAAATCCCTATATTTAATTTTTTAATTTAAATTATTTTGCTTAGAATTTTAAGTTGATGTTTGCTAAAATAATGCTATACAAATTTTACGGTGCACATAAGAGAACTAGAGAAGTGACAAAATTAAAGTGTAAGGATGAATATGTGCGAATGTACAGAGTTACTCAATTTTAGGCCTTTAATATTTATTAAGTATTTAAGGATGAATAATTATCTTTTAATTTCTTAAATAATATTTGGGAACTGATACCCACATTCACAACGGCCTGTTTATCAATGAGTTTCTCAACAATATTAATACATATTTATTTGTCATTAAATGTTATTATATATGATATTAATTATTTTAAAATAAATATCAATAAATTTTAATATACTAAGTTTTTATACTTTTTGTTTAAATAATATTTGTTTTAGTATCATTTAGGATTCATTCTTATATTATAAATTTAATCTCTTGTAGAATGAAATAATTCTCACACGTACTTCGTTTTGCATGGAAGCTGTGTTTTTCTCACTTCATGATAAATATTTTTATTTATTATATTAAATCTATAATTTTTTCTTAATTAATTAAAATAAGATATATAAAAATTCTTTTTATTACTAATTAACGAATACACTTATTCACAAACAATAAATTGTACCTAGTGTCATGTTCACTTTTTCGTAAGAACAAGGACATCGTTTGTAAGTAGTTTTAGCACTATCCCATATAATATATAAACAAGTTAATGAAAAGTCCTAAACAATAAAATCAAAACCAATTACAAAGAAAAACGTGATAATTTAGACTTAAGAAAGTTTAATCATAAAAACTTATATTTATTTTTATGTTACAGTAATAATTTAGAAAAAAAGAAATGTTACTAACATACTTTTTATTATTGACTAAAATTTATTAAAAACCAAAACAAAAATATGAAAAAAGTATTAATTTAAAAGTGAGAAAAGGCAAAAGGCACATAATTTTTATAGTTTTTAACAAATTTTAACTAATAATAAAATATATATTAAAAAAAGTATATCGCTGATATTATTCTTTAAATAACAGCTTCTAAGTATCTGTGTGTTACCTTTTTGGGTCAAAAACACAAAATTGAAAGCGCATACCCATATCTTAAACTTGTTAAACCTTTTCTACCCAGGATATTTTTAATATATTATTAGTGTTGGACCAAAAACTGTTATTATTAGTGTTATGATTTAAAGGAAACCTCATTCAATACCAAAATAGAAACTTGAGATGTAGTTTTTCTAGCCGTAATACCAAAAAAACATCATTGTTTCATGTCCAGTCAATAAAATTTACTTAAATTTTACGTTTCTGTATGTATGACTAAAATTATAATTTATATGTGCATATGACACTTTGAAAGTATTATAAGAGGAATTATTTGGAAAAAAATATTATACAAGGTAAGAACGACGTAACTAATTAGTAAAAGTACTAAATATTGAAACATTTAATAAAAAGTATCAAAATCTTGTCTTGTATGTTTCATAACACAAAATAAATTGTGCATACTTTTATCTAACATTTATGGATATTAAATAACGCACAATACAAAGGTGTTTGAATTGTGCAGCAATTATTCTAATTATTTTAATCTATTTAAATTTTTATTGTATTCTATTTGTAAATATTGTGTTCATACAAAAATTATTATCTAAAATACACCTAAGCAGAGGAACAAGTTAGATTTGAATTATTTATCACATTTCCTACCTCTTTAATTGAAAAAATATATTGCATGCCTTAAGAACTTTAATCAACAGTAGAAAATGAATTCCTTCAAAGCATAGCGAGCAACAAAGTGAAATTTACATCTTTTAATAAAGTACTTTCATACACGTGATCAAGAATGAGACCTAATCAACGTTTTTAAAAAACTCAACTATTTACCAACTGTATCATGCTTTATCAATACATATTTTTAAAATAATAACATATCCCTCTTAATTGTTTCTTAGATATTATTTCTAATTAAAAGGACAAATAAATCAATTTGAAGGATGCAACGCGAGATCTGATGCAATTTGGATGTGTGTAAATAATCATTTTCGTAAAAAAAAAAAAAAGATCGAAAAGTCAAAATAGAAAAAAAAATCAATTTCAATATAAATCGTGCTACCTTGATTTGTATTAGACTTCATAAAATGATTTTTGTAATGTTGAGCATTTTCGTTTTATTTTTGTTACATCATCAACGCATCATTGCTGCCAACTCATACCAATACATTTATTTTAAATTATCAATTTTGTTTTCTTTTTACAAGACGAAGGAATGATCCTTATTTCTTTTAAAAAAGACAGTTGACCAATTTTGACTTAAAAGGCATAATCATCTAACAAAATCATGTCACAGGTTGTCTTCACCAGACTAATAAAATAATGGAATTCCTATTAGAGTGAAATGTATCTAGTGTAGTGTACTATTCTCAATCGCGCTTATTTGAGGCTTCTAGAGTTCAGTATTGCCGTTTACTGACTTACAAGTGATTTATTCCAAAAAAAACTCACTGAGCTTGTAGAAAAGCCAAGGGATGAGGGAAAGAATCAATTGGCACCATAAATCCACTTCTCTGCATTGCTTGTGAAACTAATCAACTCCTCTGGCTTAAACCACAACTTTATCTCATCCTTTGCAGTCTGTGGACCATCACTCCCATGGATGATATTTCTGCAGGCACCGACAATATCAGATTTTGAAGACCAAATAATGGACAATGCTTTATGGAGAAACACAAAATAGAATATTTCTTTGCAAAACAGTTAGGGGCATATGATTTGAGAAAATGTTTTATATTTTTAATTACATATATATCACCTTATTTTTATTTTATTTTTAAAAAGTCATATAAGAAAAAAATGAAAATAACATTTTTCTAGTGTTTACTATTTTTCATGTTTTCTATATTTTTTTAAAAAACAAGAAATAAAATGAAAATAAGATGACATGTTTGTAATTTAAAAATATATATTTTTTGTTATCAAAATGAGTTCCTTAGTTACCTTCCAACAACAACAGCTAGGTCACCCCTAATGGTTCCAGGTTCTGATTTCTGTGGATCAGTGGCACCGATTAGTTTTCTGCCATAGGAAATAACTCCTTCTCCTTCCCACACCTATGACATCAAATTTTGGGAAACAAGAAAAGAAGACAATTTAGGAACACCGGCTTGTTAGAATTATCTTGGGCAGAGATTGAGTCATTTCTAACCATTGCAACAACAGGGCCAGAGCTTAGGAATTCACACAGCCCATTGAAGAAGGGTCTTTCCTTCAGGTCATGATAATGCTGTTGGGCAAATTCCTTTGATGGAATCACTACTTTAATTCCCACAAGTTTATATCCTTTCCTCTCAAAACGAGATATAATCTCAGAAATCTGAAAAAAGAAATGTTTTTGGTCAAAACCTCAAACAGAGAACATGTGGGGACAAAATGACATGTGCATGCTGACAAAGTTGCATCTTCACATTGTTTCACAAACAAATGATAAACATGTGCAAGAAATGAAGCTTCAATTTACCAGCCCTCTCTGCACTCCATCAGGCTTAATGGCAATGAAAGTGCGCTCCAGCTGAGAAAGAAAAAGTAAACACATGATTTGCACATTATAGTCATATCAAGGGAAAAAATACACGTTAGCAAGGATAGGAGTGAGAATAGACATGGGGATATGCAGTTAGAGAAATGTTAGGCATACCTCAGCTGCATGCACCTCCTGATCTTGGAACAAGTAAGCTACAAGACATAGAAGAAAAAATATATTAAATTAAATTAACGGTTGAATATCGTGTTAAAAAGATGCATATTAATATTGTACAACATTGAAAAGCCACCGACAAATTCATAGCATAAAGTAAGCCGTTCAGACTTGTTCAAAGTTAACTGGTGTGTTTACTATAATAAACTAATACATATCTTGTAGTAGGATTGATATACATGTAAAAAAAAGGGAAAAAAATGGCAAATGTTAATTCATGATTTTTCCAGGAATATATCAAAAAGCAAAAAACTCAAACCAATGGGTTAAAATTTAAAAGAATAAGCAAAATTTGGATACTCATGCCAAGTATTATTATACGATCACGTTGGAGAAAAAAGAAATAATTTTCAATAAACAAGGACCTGTCATAATTGGTTATAAAACTCACTAATTAAATTTAATAAAAATAATATATTTCTCTCTTTAACATGATCAGTCATGTTACTCAATAACATGAGAGATACAAGTCCGAATAAACATGGATTGATTAATTAGAGGCTTGATTGAAGTTTTGAAAAAGGTTTATGATGTAGGGGATATTAAGGGAAGTAATAAGTCTATACTACTACATCCAAAATCTTAAATTTATCCCCAGACAATGAAATTCATGTAGAAGAGGTCCCGGAAGCTACCATGCTACAGTTAAACAAGGTACAAGGCTCCTCTTCCTTCCCAATAAAAACACATTATTTTGATTTTTGACATCCAAATCATATGTATGACCATAAAGTGGCAAGCAAGACAAGAATTCATAACAAATGTAACATGTAATGAATTGTCTTGATGACCTAAACAGTAGCCAGAAAGTGAAAATGCTTAATCTTGACCAAACCTGCAGCAGGAAGAGCAAGAGCCCCTGAAATCCACGATTTGGATCCACTTTCAGAACCGCCTCTCCCATAATTTGAAGCCAAAAAAGGCACTTTGCTGCTGAATGAAACAGCCGCAGCAGCCCCCACCGCACGTCCTTCTGTAAAGGTATTGATGATTTGTAAACTCAATCATATCAGGGAAAACAAAATATATATTTGGGCCATTTCCTTAAATAATTAAATTATTAATTCCCATAAAAAAATACATGTTCTAATAAAAAAAACGTATAATTCAAATTAATCTACATTTCAATCATATTAGAAAAAAATATAAAATTTGTTTTATTCAACTGTAAATTAAATCATGGACATTCACATACACATATCCAAAGGCACAAAAATAAGAGAGAAAAGATGTCATTTTTTCAAGCTAGAGCCCCAAACAAATCAAGGTGTGTTCGGATAATCAAAAGCTAAAAAATAAATAAAACTCTGAATCCTCAAGATTTAATTTCATCACGGCAATATTCTCTTATTAGAGCACATGAAAGTTTTAATTAAATCAAAATTGAATAAAATGAACACACATACAAAAGCAAAGAATGATAATGAGAGGAAGAGAAAGAATAGAAGGCACTTACGATGGTGAAAACGAGAAGCCTTAGAAGCAGAGAGAAGGGACCTTGCAGCTCTGGAAGCAGATTTGCAAACCTGTGAGGCCATCTTCTCTGGGTAGATTGCTCAGTGTCAGAGCAATAGAAAAACGGAGTGAATAATGTAACGGTGAAGGATCAAGGAACAAGGATTACCGTGTCTTATGCCTTTTGGCTTTTGCAGTTTCGTCCTTCATTTTATGTTCATTTTCATTTTTTGGCACTTAGATTTGGGATACATGTGTAATTGGAACTGTCTGATCTGTCTCAGGGCATGATCGTGTGGTTAGGAGTAATTAATTGACTTTACTGCGTGGGTCAAACCTTGCCCAAACTATAGATGTCCACGTGATGGGAATCTCATCCCCCTCAACGCCTACCTCCAACTATATGTGCGGTTAGTTCATTATATTCGATGCTCAATTTCTTCCTCGTGTAGCTCTTTAAAATATACTTTGAGATTTCAGGTTTAAAATATTAAACATGTACATAATTTTTATACCTTTTTTTTTTTTTTAAACTACAAAGGAATTGGTAAGGTCTACTTTAACTTTACAAATAAAAAGAGATTTGATACGGTTCTCTGCTTTTGATCTCTGTCAACTCTCCAGTTACCATAGTTCCTAGTAAACTGTGATCTTAAATATACTGGTCCAGGAAACCTCGCAACCCGCGGGTTCAAGTAAAATTATCTACACGCAACAAATGCGTTTCATCTACAAGTAAACAAATGAAATAATACAAGAATTGTATGCCCGTTCATTTTTTTTTATTGTAAACAGCCATTTATTTAAAATTTAGTAAAATTATTTTTCAGATATTAAATATAATTAAAATATATACTTACATTAATCTTAATAATATATTTTATGTTGAAACACGTTGGTGTGTGAAATTGATTCAAATTGTTAACCAAACAAGCACTGAGACGCCATTGTCACTGTCCCTTTTGATTTTGCTATATAATCACATTTTTTATGGCATTGGGTTGGATAGATACCACGTATCACTACAGGCACAGAGCGAAGAAAAACATAAAAAGCATCATTGCTCAAAACAATGATGTAATAATAATCCGACACTTTCAAACAATTAAAAAAAGTAAAGTCATTTTAACAATATATTTTTGCAACACATTTTATAGTAGAAAGCGATGTAAGAAAAGGAGAAAGAGAAGCGTAGAATAAGATGAATAAAGTGATAAATAAAAAATATATATTATGAAAAAATGTTATAAAAATTTTATATCAAAACATCATTGCTAAAAAAAATAATGTTATTTAATGAGATGTCAAAGAAGCAACACAACTTTATCAAATATCCAATAGAGGTGTAAATAAATGATTATTTTGATTAAAGGGTGAGAGAAAAGGGATGCAGGTAGGGAACAGTTCTCTTTACAGATTCTTATGTCCTGGAAAATCAGTAGGAAACTTCTCCCTTGTCAAATACTTTACGTGGCAATGTTTGATTTGGACAAAAAGAACCAATCCCATTTCCTCTCATGATGGAAATACCTTTTCCAATTGGTGGAGCAGCAGTTGAGAGAAGGCAACATACAGCCAAAAAGAAAAAATAGCTTTTAGGGGAGCTTCTAGAAGTTTATAATCATGGATTAATGCCTGCGTGGTTAACATGTTAGCCAATTATGAGTTGTGTAAAATTGTAAATAAAAGAAATCATTTGCAGATAGACAATGACCCCACGAAAAGGGAAGGCATGGATCAAGTTCAAGTCGCTTCGTTTGTGGGCTTCACAGGATTAAATACAAAGAATCCGTCAAGCTCCTAACTGTCTTTGTAAAGGAATTTAGCCTGTGTTGTTGTCCAAAATAACTACTCAACTTTTTAATGCCAAGTGTCTTCAAATAATAGCTTAAGAATCGATTATCAACTTAATAGATTATCTAGGTGAACTTCTGAGTGACATGAGTTAGTCCTTGTGAATGAATGCCGTGTGGTGCATTTCTTTCAAGAATGATCAAAGTTATTCTTGGGAAAGTGAACTAGAGAATGACATTTTCGTGAGTAATACAAGTTTTAGAAAGATATTCGTAAGCCTTATTTCTTTTCTTGGTGCTAAAAGGGAGAAGAAGAAAAACCAGCTAATCAACAACTGTACGGGAAGAAAGAGATGTCAAGATCCCACAGCCACTCGACATATGGTTAGAGCACTTGGATAACTCTTTCCAATTGAATTTGTTTTGAGGAGTTAAGCTTAATCCACTCTCAATTCTCATATAGTTACAATGCTTATCCTAATCCAGACATTCATGTATTTATCTTGATTTTATTCCCACGATGTGGGGAGGGTATGTTTTCCCGTGACATAAGAATGAAAATTATCATATAAACCATTAACTTTTACACTCACTCCCTCTTCTTTCCCCCATTATCATTATTTGAAATTTGAAAAATATTTCAGAAAATATTAACTCATAACCAAACATGTTTTTTTAACTTACGCACAAGTATGAAGAATGTTATTCTTGGAATGTAATAATCTATTTTTAAACAAATACTTCGAAAGCTTCCCATCTCAAATCTTGCTTAACTTATAACTTTCCTGCTTAACCAGGTTGGATGGTACTTTACAAATTGTACCTATCGCTTGACGTTGCAGATTACAACAAATAAGATCAAAAATCCTCCAAATGTTGGCAAAATACGATCTCCTATCTGCCCTTCCTTTCCTGACATAAAGAGCTTTCTAGATTGCCCCGTCATTTTAAAGATAGTGAAGGCCCCTTCTAGTTTCTCAGCCATCAACCACGCTCATTACACTTAAGTTACCAGCCTACAGTAGAGGGAGTTTGCTTGTCAGCATCTCCGCTGGTAGATAATAAAACTTGATCACTAAGAACTCACAATGCTGGCCACGAACCAAAGTGATTACAGAAGTATAATCACCTTTCTTGCAGAGACTTTTTATTACACTTCCCCTCCCAAAGGTTCTACAATACTCATTATTCAGGTATAAGCATTGAATTTATTCATATTTTGATATCCCAACTCTAGTTTACATATATATACGGGAAGGTCACAAAAATTGTACGGTTTAAAACCTAATTAATAGTTCAATTCTTCGCTTGCGCCAAAAGTGACAAATAAATCGTGAGTCTATCAAATACCGAAAACATTTCAAGACATTAGTGCTGTATTTACAAAGTAGCTGAGATTTACAAAGCCACTGAAACTCACCAAATAAACTCACCAAACAAGGTGTAATTATGTTACATCTCAATCGAACCATTGGGGACTGATGTATCAGATTCCAATTTGCAGTCACTCTGTAATGCTGATAACCATGAGTCCACCTGAAAGAAGAATAAGGGAGGGAAACTACATCATTTGATATGATAACATGATATGGAATACACATTGTATTTAGAAATTATACCAATGATGCAAGTTACATCATTTACAAATTATCTTGTACTGCATTGTATAATTTTTTTGTTTGTAGGTATATTTATTTATTTATTTATCTAACATGATAAATATAAATAATTAAATTATGGAATGGATTTTTACCTATGCCTAGACCCAATGAAAATTTTCTTGATAAGACCTTTTCAATTGTAACCAATATCTTATTACAAATAATTCTGACAACTTGTTCAGACTGAAAACTGAATAATAATAATAATAATAATAATAATAACACCTACTACGAATCAAATTATCTTAACTTGGACGCACCTGTATCTTCGAACTGCTTGAGCACTCATAGCGTAATCCATGACGCGTTAAAATATAGAAGGCATGTTGAATTTCATTATCTTCTCGCTTTAAACACGGTAATTTCCCTACTTCAACGATATCAGATAGAAGGGTCGAGTCCTGGGGGCTTAGATCTGCAATTTTTCCCTTTGTCAGCAAGCAACCATTGATGCATTGCAAATGAAATTCAATCATCTGAAACCTAGAGAATAAAATATATTTGATTGAGCTAACCAAGGGCACTTTTTTTTTACAAAGATACTCTAAAACAAACTTAGGCTTTTTCCATATAGCTTAAGCATTTGGGCCTCTTTGACAAAGCTGCTATGAGTAAATTCCGTGAAGCTCCTACTCCTCTATTTAAATTTGGTACTGCCAGTGGCTTCTCCAGACTTTGACATAAAAGGGCATGTTAAAAAATTTGATAAAAAGAATTCCTTGTGAAATAGCTTAAGCTTTTTGAGTGTTGATTCTTGACATTTCGGCATTCAAACAATCATCACACAGACATTTGTAGTAATAAGTTTCATCGTGAGCTGCTGATTTGAAACCAAAAATGCCAATCACAGACTGAAAGCCATAATAGGAAAATATAGTAGCCAATAGAGAGAAGGTTGTTTCATAATTGCAAGGAAATTTTTATTCACACAAATCTGGTAATTAAAAGAGTTCTAATACTTCCATTTCTCAATAACCTCAATGCAAAAAAGAACAAATGCAATTTATATACAGAAAAAACAAATGCAATTTATATACAGAAAAAACAAATGTTCAGCCCAGTAAAGTTTTATGTGCTGTACAGTGCTATCATAATATTTAACTGCAAAATGAAGCTTAAGGTCATATTTGGTTGGATAGAATGATTTTGAAGGAATGGGAGAGGGAATGGAATATTCGTTCACATGTTTTTGTTTGGTATACGTTGAAATGAAAGGATGACTCCATTCCCCTTTCATGTTTGGTATGTTATAGTTTATTAAAAAAATGATTTTTTAAGTTAAATAGGCTTGGCCCAACCTGGAGTGAATAAATTTTGGGGTCAAGACAGTCAGTGTCAGCCTGTGCTATCTTTTGGGTTCAAAAAAGCAAAAATGGGCCAGAAAACATATTAGAGCTGAAGAAGTGAGCCAGACAGATTGGGTGTTCTAATTTACATCTATATTTTGGTATAATGAAGTGGACATTCATTACTTTGGTGATGAAAAACAAATTCCTAAAACTGTAGGAATAGTCGTCCCCTTGAGTATGCTTATTCCATTCCATTGCCCTAACCAAACATGACCCATTCCCATAGTCACTTCATTCCATTTGTTCCAACCAATCACATATTAAATTTCTCATTAGTAAACAAATATCAAATAAAATGTCAGTTCACATGCATTATCCTGACTAAAACAGTTGGAGGGCTGCATGTCAGAAAAACTTTCATGTGACTTATTAGTACAATAACGAACAGAATGAAAAATAGAAAAATGCATATTTTAGCACTAACATAGAAAAGTTTGTACAACAAACATACACAAAAAGAATACAACAACAGCAATGTATTGACAAGTCAGTATATGTTCAAAGAATAGAGGTGTGTAAGAAGAATATGACACAAAGAACAGAGATTTATTGCCCTAGATTTGGATACATTATTATTAAAAGAAAGTAGTTATGACAAAAAGACAACTACGACATTTAGGAAGGAACACAACTTGCTGCCTACCTGTACATAACAAATATAAAAATATACATTCTCCATGGAGAACAACAAAACGAGGAAGCCAATCATCTACTTCAGTATCATCTATAGGTGGAGGTTCTCCCGGTAGTGCTGCCCATCTCTATAGAGAAAAATTAAAATCAAATGAGCATTTAGCTTGTTGGGTAAAATAAAACTGTAAGCACAAACCAATGAGGAGAGGACTGGACAGTCAGTACAGTTCGAATGTATAAATAACCAGATAGGCGAGCGGACCGCAAAACTTCATCAACATGTTCCAACCTGTGTGAAACAAAATTTTTTCCCTAAAATAAATATTTAAGGAAAACACATTGGTTCTCTTAAGGCATATAAGAATTCCCAACAAAATGGGAAGGGTTGGGTAGATATTAAACAGTACATTTCTCTGGTTTCTCAACTTAGTAATTTCAATTCCAAAGAGAACAAAGAGTAGCTTCCTCTAACAGTCTAAAACACAAGGAAGAATCACTAGTATGGAGGGAAATGGAGAACAATGAAAGCTAAAGGAAAATGCTCATTTTATTCTTATTACACAAACAGTTCACACCTGTCTAAACTAAACCAGTTCATTTTATTCCTCTGGTGCTTTCTTTTATCAATGACATCAACACACTAGATACAAGAATGGTAACCTAAAGAAAACTGCTAACAAGTAAACAAATTAAATACATTATGACGGAAAAACCCTTAACAGTGCAAAGCTGCAGAACACTCACTGAGCTTTCAAGTGAGCTTCCCTCTCCTCTATATCAGCAAGCTCTGATCGAAGTGACTCTAGTTCTGCAACTGTTAGCTCAACCTACAAAATATAAATTTTTATTTGTAGGATATAACAAACTTCAAAAATGACAAAAAATGTACAGCATAAAAGCTGCTCAAATCAAACCTTTTCCTGACCTCCACTACTGGACCCCCATGGCAGCCCTCGTAGAGTAAACAAGTTCAACATGAAAGCTGTCCTTAATTTTCTTCGAGTCCGCTGATGGTGCAAGGACCTAAACTAAGCTAGATTGAGTAACTTATTTCAAATAAATTCAAAGTTTCTTTGTAACTTTTTGTTTACTGTTTTTGTTCCTTTCTAACCAGGAAACAATACCGCGAAGATTGATCAGTTGCAGGTTCTGTAATAGATGATGTTCTGCTCTCTGGAGATTCTATACTTGATGTTGGAATTTGAAAGTGATCAGGGATGATCTTTAATTTTGAAGGACTATCATCCATGAAATTGAACCTCTTGACGAAGAAAGGAAGGCAAGCCTATTTTGAGAATGGCAGTAATGTTCAGTGTGAGTTATCCTGAAATAGTAACAGCACAGAAGTTAAAATAGCATCATTGGCATCACTTCCCTCAATTGTTTCATAACTCATAAGTTGCTAACCAATTTTGCTCAACCTGCAGCCAGAGGTCATTTCAGCAAATTATAGGAATATGACATGGCTGCCAGGCCTTAAATGTACAAGAACGATGGTTGACCAACTTAGATATATGTACACATAACATTCATCTTTACCCTCCAAGAATTCTGGAGTAACACAAGCTAAGCAAATTGTTAGACCAGCCAAAACTAGCAGTCCCAAACAGCTTGCCTCTAAACTACTAAAATTGAAGAGAAAAGCACATTCCATTGAGTTAAAGTCAGATTGCTGAGGAATATAAAACCCTTGCATCCAGAAAGATCATAAAGGAAATGCTGACGGCTGATCACATGGGTCCAAAAACTCAAGACTCACGTCAATTAGCATAGTTCTAGAGATGATATCAGAATGACTAAGCACTACATTGGTTTGGCAGCAGCCAAAATTTCTATTCTTTTTTGCCTCTCAAGCTAAAAGAAGCAGCTCTTTTATGGCATATTGAGACAATAGCTTCAGCTTATTATTTCACTCGAACTTGGTTATGTATTACTCCAAAGGAACCAGCATACTGAACCCTTAATTATTGTTTCTTTAAAAGCAAAACCCGATCACCCCAACATAAAACCTCAGATGCTCACCTAATGCTCAACAAGTGATCAACCGAAGTCCTCACTCGCATTCATCAACATAAACAATGGAACTCAGTCGGAGATAGTTTGCTAGGTGCTACAAGATAGGGAAACCGAAACATCTGAAAACCAAGAAAAATAATAATAAACCTCAAACAAGGATGGGGGAAAAAAAGGCAAAAAAACAGGGAAAGCAACTCAGAGTTAGAGCTATTAAAGTAGATCAACCTATATTTGGCTATTTGCTGACTATCCAACCCTAATTCTCGCGACGATCATAAGATAAACTCATCATTCAGAAGCGGGGAAAGGAAAAAACATGGAAAGCTATAAGCTATACAATAAATTAAAAATGGTAAATTAAATAGAACATGTCGCACGACAGCTACAGCTACAACTTACAACTGCCAACTAAGAATTATTAGAAGAGAACAGAACATATTATTTAAGAATAGAGACAAAGGGGAAAGAGAGAGAGTTGCATACCCGACATAGGAGAGGGCTTTGGATGATGGACACTTACTTTCCTTTGCGCAAAATAGAAAGTGACTCCACTCGAAGCCCAAGACGCGGGTGTTCGGTATAGCAGTTCAGTTTCCTATTGCTGGTATCGCGGAAAGACACTTTTACCCATCCGTTTTAACAACAAGTCACAACCATCACATCTGGAGTTGGTACTCGTTCGGTTCTCGTCACTAAAAACAAAATCCAAAACCAAAATCCCTGTTCGTTTAACGTAAATAACATTTTGTACTTAAAAACGGCTAATGTATAGGCTTTAATATTCTATTTCTAATATATAAAAATCATTTTCTATTAGCTTCAATTCCAAGTGTTGATTTTAAGTATTTCAAAATTTTAAAATTTTATCATAAATTATTTACATTTTTAATTAAGTTTTTCATTTTTAGATTAAATTTTTACCATATTTTCCGTTATAATTAATGGTTTGTTTGTTTTATCATTTGGAGTAAAATAATCGATTTGCTTACAAATTAATCAACCACAATCATTGATATACACATTGTACGAAACAATTTGGATGAAAGTGATTTTTTTCAATTTTATAGAAATCAATTCTCTTGAGCTTCCAACGAAGTCGCAAACAGACACTCAAATTATTTTTAACTAAAACTTATCTAAGCTAGTTTTTAGCTTAATATAATCCAAATGAGTAAACTTATTTGCATCTGAGTAAATTTGCTCGGTTTTCCTTTTGTTTAACATATATTCTTTTCAACATATTTAAATTTTAAAATTTATATTTATTTAGACATAAAAAATATTGTATAGAAGAATATTCTTTAAGAAAACATTTTATTATATTACGTAAATTCCTACTACACTGTTAGAATTGAGATAATAGTGAGGAATTAGGGCAATTTACAGAATGCCATTTAAACTTTCATATAAATCCAATTGTTCATGCTATATAAGCGGTGTTGAGAGACTGAGAGTCTCTAGATGCATGGTTTTTTGAACGAATTATCCCAACCTTCAGTGATGTCTAGATAAATATATGTTTTAAAATAAAATTTAATAAATTAAAACTCTGCACACTCACGACAATGATCTGTTGAGTTGTGTCTAAAGTGCAAAGAGCTGCAAAATTATAATTAAAAAAAACAAGTGTATTTACTATTGAATTGAAGTTGGTAAGTTTACGAAATTAAATATTTTAATTCAAATCAACTATTGATACACTTCTAGGGTTAAGGATTTTTTAACTTAAACCCATTTTCTTACTAATTTACTGTGCTATACAGCTAGGTACAGATAATACAGGAAACTGAAGAGCTTTCTGTCTTGGTAAATTGGTTAGTTATAGAAGTCATGACATGGATGGTTTTCAATTTCAAGGTCAAACATGCTCGTATTCCATTATTGACAATTTGAATCAGTAAACTGTTTCGACCCAAAACTCAAACAACAAAAAGGAAAAGGACCCATCACCGGTGAACTTGGATGAATCTGAACCACAGAAAAGAAGCTCAAGACACAGTGCATTTTTCAGAACACTCGATTAGAAGCAGCCAATCAAATGCCAAAATTCCAGAAGTTTAAATTAGCAACAGAAACCAAACAGGAGACAAAATAAATCGATGCTTGTTATGCAATATGAATGGATTCCCCAGTTATCATGAAGGGAGGTGATCGATGAAGTAAGTAAATGCCGAGTCAAACTAAATGCAAACAATTTTTATTTAGGAAAAAAAAGTAAACAAGAACGAAACGTGTATTCTTGGAGGAAAAACTTCTTTCTCCACGAGAATATTCACTTTTGAAGAATAACTGTATTAGTGTGTAAGTCCCAATGGGAGAATGTGTATTAGATTAAAATGTAAGAATGCGCCTACCCTTAATTTAAAATTAGCTAAGATTACCAAATATTTGCATTTAAATCAATAATAGACACAATCGTATTTTCTTACTTTATATATTTGCTCACTTTAGAGAAGCTAAATATGTGAAAAACATATACATCCAGCGGTGGGTAATCAAGAAACCTAACTAGTAGCAAACTTTGACAGTAACCCACGCAATTGGCGGGGTAAGTACGATCCTTACTCAGTACCCCTTTCAGTCCATAAATATATTTTTCTAAGGAGCAAACTAACAAGTGTAGTCAGCAAGTGTGAAAAACCGGAGTTCTTTTGGGCCGAAGAGAGGCCTTCCCTCCCGCTATTGCAGAAGTAGTTGAACTTGAAAAGAATGATAAATTAGCATCACTAGCTGAAGACGAAGCCTGAGTCGCAGATGCAGAACCTGCAATGAAAATTTTCCATAGAATTGGACTATTAACTAACAGAAACAATTAAGGAACCAGTCCTTATCCCATTAGGTAGGTTCTTTACATTGATCAACAACGAATTCTATTAGATTCTATCGAAAAGCAAATTTTCAACAAATCCATTTAATACTCTTATAAATCACAACATAATCGAAATAAAATAAAAACCTTGATATAAACAGAAAAGCAAAATGAAAAGGTAAAGAAAAGTGTAAATCATAGCAAACTAATAATTGATAAAATTGAACATTGAAGAATAAAATAGGCCTCGTGGGTCTTAATCTTGTAAGGAAAAAGAGAGAGTTAGCAACCAGAGGATTTGCGATGTCTCTGGGGGAACTTAATGCCATGGATTCTTTTCAAAGCCTGAGCTCCACCCATCGCTTACGCTCATACAAACACACGCTCATTTCACAATCCAACAACTCTCACAATTGTCCAACAATCGCCACACATGTAAAGCATCTTCACCGTTTTAAGAACAGTGTTTATCGTCTAGTAGTACGTATTCATGCGATGGATAAGCCCAATTTTCTAATGCAAATTCTCTAGTTTCTCTGGACATTATGGATCCACCCTCAAGTTGGACTGGGCTACAAATTCTCATTCTGAAAAATAAAAAATGCAAGTAAATTTTAAACAGATTTGATTTATAAACACATAAATAAAAATTTGATAAAAATATACTTAAATGTTACTATTATCCATTTATGAGCATTATTAATAGTGGAACTTAATTATATAAATAATTATTTTATAACTTTTTTGAGACTCACAATAACACATCATTCAATTTTATTTTATACAATTTTAAACATCTCCATAAAAAGTATTAAAAAGCATCTTTAACTACAATTGCATGTTTCAATTGTAGCCATAAGCAACATAGGTTTATGGAGTTGGAAGTAGAGAGTTACATGATATGACAATGCTCACAAGCAATAGCTCCTTGTACAGGCAACTATTCTATTTCAGAAATTACGGGGCCCATATTTTTATGTATTTATTGATTTAAAATGAAAATAAGAATACAATAATTTTTAAGTCAAAATAAAATTGAAGCATTGTGAATGTGGAGTAATTTGTGAAGCTCATTAGGAGAGAAAAATATACGCCTTATGCCTTTCGCTTTTTAGTGCATGGTGTGGCTGTTGAAGAAGATATAGATCCAAATAGTTTAATATTTATCTTAACAATGTCTTTTTATGTTTTTTAAAAATTATAGAAAATGAGCCTACCTTTTCCTCTCTCTTTTTGTGACCGATTAATACTTTCAATTTTCTTTCCTTAAAGTTTCACTACTTTTGTCTACAAAAAGTTAGAAACAATAACGCAGTACTTTGCATTTTAATTTCATAAAACGACAACATTTTAAACCTCCCTGCCCTGCAAAAAAGGGACATCTGAAAGCCTTTGCTTGCCTCAAAATTTATTGACTTTTGATTTGGGAGTATTAAGCTTGTCATGTGTATATCACAACTTCCAACAGTTAATTGCATGAAAAATTATTTTTGTTCTTCTTTGATTTTGTTTGTTATAAATTTAGCTTTATTATGTCAATTTTTTTAATATAATGGCATGCTTTGGTTTGAATTTTTCTTTTTTTATAAAATGTTTAATTTCTTCATGACTAATGTGCCCTTTGTAATTTTACAATTTAGTCTCGCCCAAGCCTTGTTAACAAGACTTTCTATGTCAATACTTGGGTTTTTCTTTTATGAAAGTACTAAAATTAAGCGCTTTCAACATTAATTAAAAAAACATCAAAATTTCTATTCAAATTAAAATTTCAAAGCCAAAATCTAGATAAATTGCTATGCTTGTTATTTCTAATGAATTTATAGATTGAGAGTATGAGAATTACAAATTTAAAATATTCAACCATATATAAATATGATTTTAGTTGAAAATATATTTTTTGCACGTACAAAAATATAGATAACTTAATAGAAAATATTTTACAACCACCTCTCGAGATATAGTGACGAGAAAAGAAGGACAAAAATAATAAATATTAAGTGATGTGATTTCAAAATAAAATAATAAAAATATTAAATAGGTATTGGTGGAGACATAAAAATTAGAATCATAACCCAAATTCATAGTAACACAACCGGGTAACAAAAGCTAACAATGGTTTCGAAGCATAATTACATTGACTTAGTTTTTGCTTAAACCGCGTTGCATAATTTCTCTGCGACTCATTCTTCCTATCACTTTCTGGGATTTGATCCTCAACACAGACTGAATAAGAAAGCAATGAAAAAGTAGTCAATGAGATGACATTTTTTGAAAGTAAAAAAGAGTGCTTAACCCCGTAGACGAATTAACAATAGGTTTCGATTTTCAAAACGCGCTTTCTTGAATTCTCTGACCAGCTTCCACTGTATGTGTCTTGGTTTTTGATAGTGCAGAGTTGCCAAGTACCTAGCCATTACCTTCTTACATCTGGAGAAAGGGGTGAGAAATTAACCCTTTGACACATACCCATGCCTCAAATTTAACAGCTTATAATCAACTCTGTAGAATCTAGATGCTCAGTTTTTATTTTATTTTGTGTGTGTAATTTGTTACTTGAACATAATAAGATGGGACAAATTATAGTTTCTTTAGAAGCACTTCCCATTTACTATTGCCTTCAAATTTGACGTGAGAAATATTATAAAAAATAAGACGAGTGATATAAATAAGAGAAATTAAAAATAGTTTAATGTTAGAAAAATTTATTATAAAAAATACTATAACCGATAAAATATTTCCTTAAGTAGACTCCCTAGTTACAATAGATATATTGCAATCCATGACCATATGTTATTGAGCACTATGAAGTTAATTTTACAACTCAGTTGTCACAATCACCTATGCCATCACTAGGCTTGTAGGGCAAAAATTACGTTTGAGCGGGTCTTGCAAGGTAACTAATCAATATATGCATTAGGTATCAAACAAAGCCAAAAATGTTTGTCTCTAATAAACAAAGGTCACTTTCTTGAACTAGTCACAATGTATACAGGTGACTCAGGTGTATTCAGCTCATGTGAAATGACCTATAAAACCCTCAACCAATATGTGTATTGACCCTTTCAACAATGCGAATATAGTCTTTTGAACTTGAGTACGTAGCGTGAACAAAAGAAAAGGAAATTACCCTTCTTTTCAGGAGAATAAAATAAATGTTGAGGGACCATGTAATTTGACAGTCAATCACTTGAAGCTTGACTATTAAAGATTCTTAGTCCACTCTAGTTTCTTGGGTTGATGCCTAGGTCGCTCATTGGCTTATAAAATTTCCTATGTAACTTATTCAACACCTTTTACTGTTATTTTCCTTGTCTACCCCAGTGGACACTTCACGCTTGTGCCCAACCAAACCAAATCATTGGTATAAATTCCACTCTTCCATGTCCATTTTGCTCACCACTAACCACTCCTTCCCAGTTTCTAAAATTGTACCTTTTCTTACTTGATAAAACTCTCTTGTTAATAACAATGATTCGCACCATGTTTGCTTGCTTTAATAGAAAAGTATCACGTAAAAACGTGAAAGTAGAGCCACTAGAAGCCACAAGAGGTGTATACAGGGATGAATTGACCAAAAAGCAATCACCTAGCAAGGCAGTGAAGAAAAGTGTCCGGTTTGCGGATTCAGAACCTACCGTATTGGGAGAAGAGAGTGAAAAGGAGTTTGAGAAAACAAGGTGTGGGAGTGGCAATGAATTGGGAGAGAAAGAGGGGGTGAGAGTGAAGGTTAAATTGACGAAGGAAGAAGCGGCTAGGTTGCTATCAAAATGCAATGGAGGAGTTCTCGAATTCAAGGATGTTGCTCGTGAGCTTGTGTGGATCCCTGTCAACCGAGTTAGTATTGTGTCTGACTGCACGAACAATTCGTTGTAGTGGGAAAGCTATATTGCCAGCTTCTCTTAATAGGATTTTTTCTAGTACGGTATTACGATTACAATTTATTTTGTTAAAGAAAAGGGAACATTACATATTAGTGGAATTTTATATTAATATATACTTTATTTATATATATATATAAATGATATTATTATACTAATCCAAGTCTAAAATTTATAATCTGTTAAATATAAATTAAATAAAAAAAATTTAGATAAGTATAAATTTTTAAATTTAAATTAACATAAAAAGATTTTATATATATATATATATATATATATATATATATATATATATATATATAACAAGAACACGGCCAAGTCTGACGAGAGAAACTTAGAATCTCGGGAGTTTATGCGTTTATACGCACCAAACACTTTTTTAACTTTACAAGTATAATTTCGATTAATTAGACTTACGTTTATAGCTTATAAAATTTAATTTAGTGCATTGTCAAAGTAAAAAAATATATATTATTAATTAATAAAAAGTATATTATAAATATAATTTTTATATTAATTAATTATAAAAATAAAAATTCCTTACTAATATAATAATAAATAATTAGGTGACTTGATAAGATTCGTCAAAATATTTAAAATAATATGTGTATAAATTATAAATTTTTAAGTAAAAATAAAAAATTTATATTATTAAAAATTGTTTTGAGTAGCAAGTAACTCGATATCATAAGATCTCAAGTTTGAGTTTTGATGTATACAAATAATTTTTAATGACAGACTTATTATCACATCCTGTTGTAAGATTCGGATTAGATTCGAATTAAATTGAATAAAAAATAAAAATAAAATTATAATAATTTTTACTGTGTTATATATTTTTCTAAATTTTATTTTTAATTAATTTAATCATTTTATCTGATTTTAATTTAAGATAAATTCATAAAATAAAATCTATTTAAAATTTAAATTAAATATCGTGTCTCAAACATGCAAATAGCTGAGCCCAGTAAATTGCAATGGTTTGATAGAAGCTAACAAAAAACCAATATTTTGTTTTTACTGTCCATGGATCATAACCATGTGTACAGAAAAACATGGATCAACCACACTCATTGTGCATTTGAAAATAAGTAGACTCTCTAGTGGGGTTAGGGATTATGGCTTAGTATATATCTAGCTTAGGCCATATAATACTTATTTGTCGTTAAAAGTTTTTTAAAAGTTTGTGTTGTTAAAAACACAAGATTTCAACTCATTTAAGAAGTCTTTATTTATTTATTTATTTAAGAACTCTTTTTAATCTAATAACTAAACTAATTTAAATAAACAATAATAAAAGCCTTGATAAATGCAACGACATAGGTTGCTGATATGTTCAGATTCGTTTGGTAGAAATACCATTAAAAAAATATCAAGATATAATAACTAGATAAAAATATATAAAACAACAGTGTGATAATTTATTATCTTATTTTATATTTCATGTATGTTAAATTAATAATTTAAATATATTGTGTTATTCAATCAATTTTTTTTAATACAGGCTCATCGACATAGATTTAACTTAAAAAAATAAGTAAACATATAAAATAAACTTATCATAACACATTTGTTAAATGAACACAGAAAGTATTATAGAATAAAAAATTGTCTTATTATCAAATAGACCTTTATATATTTAATTAAGAGCCTCTTTCTTATGCACCAACATTTAGCAATTTTTTTTATAATATTATATTTTAAATTATTTATAAAATATATTTATGAATATATACATATAAATTTAATACTCATAATTTATAATATATATATATATATATGTGTGTATATATCATTGATCTTTTATTTTATTTTTAATTACAAATTTTAATTGAATTAAATCCTAAAAAGGTCACAAAAGTCAAGCATGTCTCAAATAGCTACATGTTATCACCAACAAGACTCTTACACAGATCCTCACATCAATAGTATGCATCTTTATGAAATATTAATTCAATTTTTATCGTCTGGACTCATTTTTATTGGCTAGTCTTTTGTCCAGCTATACAAATAATATAGTGATATTAATATAATGTTTGTCTCTAAACAATCAAAATAAATATAATGGAATTTTTAAACTGTTTACGTGATTTTTTTAAATGAGTTCAAAATAGTAAGAGAATTTTGTTTCTTAAATGATTTAATCCCAAATCAACTTTGATTATTCAAATTTCAAAGTATTTTTTAAATATTGTTATTGTTTTTTTAGTGTAAAGCACTACGATTTAGTCATTTTTTGCAAAAATGGTTTTCAAACTTTTATCATTATTAAAAACACGATTCATTTATCACCGTCCATAATTATTTATAAATTTTTGTGTTATCTGAATGAGCTAGAACAGATTAATTAGAACCTTTGAGCAAGTCATGGTAGCCTCACCTCTTTTACTCACCAATATTATAAGGGCTGTGGACCTTTCATTGGAACAATAATTCATTTATTTTTTTCCCCCTAAATGCTTACTAAAGCAAACTAACCCACTTTTTTAATGAGACAAACGAACGGGTAATTATTCTTAACCTGTCACTATCTAGTCGTAAAGCAATAATATCATCAAATCAATACATATTATTTTCTTTTGGGGGAAAAGAATCAATAATCTTATGTGATTATCATGGGCTTGATTTTGCTTGGGCTTTTTTTTTTAATTTGCATTCTAAAATAATTGAAAAAAATAAAAAGGAAACAAATCTACTTCATTATTATTTTTAAATGGATGCTCATGTTTGATTTTGTTTTTTATTATGTTTTATAAAATAATTTATTAAAAAGAAGAAAGAAAAATTATACTTGATTAAATAATGTTAGAGACGAATTGAAAATCAGTGTAATGAGTGGCTCTCCTAGATTTTGGAGAGGGATGATACTTTGGGTGATGATTCTCGTGAACGAAGCATGAAAAGGTCTAAACGAAGGAGTCTTTTGTTATGGAGGGTGTTGTCATCAATGATGCTAGCATGGAGGAGTCTAGTTCTAGTTTCGAGACAGAGAAAACAACTTCCAAATCGTACTTGGATAGCTTACTAAACTCAAATGGAGGCAAGGTTTTCTCTAATTTCAACAATCTTGTAAAGGTAATGGAGGTGTCGAAGAATGCTTTCTATAAAGATATTAATAACTCTGAAAATATAATCACAGTGACTCAGGAGGAGTTTGAGGAATGGTGCTCTTCATGGCACACTTCTTTGATCATCAATGTTCTAAGCAAACGAGTTTCTTATCAAATGCTTGATAACAAGGTTCAGAGGGAATGGGTAAAGGCTAGACCTGTTCGTATGGTGGATTTATCACAGGAATTTTACCTAGTGCAATTTGTAGCAGAGGAAGACTATAAACATGCCTTGTTTGAGGGGCCTTCGATGATTGCGGACCACTATATAGTGGTGCAAAGATGGCTCTCTTTTTTCTCTTTTATGGCTACTTAAACACGCAAAATTGCAACTTGTATTTGGATACTTGACCTCCCGATTAAGTTGTTTAATGATAAATTTTTGTGGAGGGTAGGAAGCAAGCTAGGCACGATGTTAAAGATAAACAAACTTATGTCTATCCATACTCAAGGAATCCAGACTCGAGGAAGATTTGCTAGGATATGTGTCAAGCTCGATTTACAAAAAAAGTTAGTGTTCAAGATCAATGTACTAAGGCATCTACTCCGGCTGGAGTATGAAGGACTCCACTCCATGTGATTTACTTGTGGAAAACATAGCCATAGGCAACAACATTGTTCTAAACAGAATGTGCCTCCTGCACAGAGTACTAGTTCAAGCGAGGTAGGACCAGAGGTGGATGTTGATGGAAATACTACCAAATTGTTGAATGATGGTGTGAATACTATTTTTTTCCTCCTAAGGATTACCTCCAAAATTTTTAATAAAATAAAATAAAATTGTTTTACAAAAAAATAGAAATTTTGGAAAAAAAACAAGTTTGACTCACAGAAACAGAAACCTGCAATATACAAGTTCATACCCTTACATCAAAAACCGATTTAAGCATGAAAAAAGAAAAAACTCAGATTTTGGCGTTTTGTAAAAATCCTAAATGAACCTAATATAAAATTTCAAGCAAGAGATCCGGAGAAAAGGGGTAAATATTTTAGAGGAGATAATGAATTTCTTTGAAGAAAGATCTAAAATAAAAGAAGGAGAAGAAAAGAAAAACAGTTTCTACCATTTTGTTGTCTTCTATTGCTGGGTTCAGGTACTGCCTTCTCCTCTTAGCATAAGCCTTACGTTTATTTGATGCTACTATGACTTGATATTTTTTTACTATGCGTGGATGTGGAAAGTGAGATAAGAAGAGATGTCTTACATTTATTTGTTGCTGTTATGACTTAATTTTTTTTGCTATGCGTGGATGGAGAAAATGAGATAAGAAGAGATGCCTTACATTTATTTGTTGCTGTTATGGGTTAATTTTTTTTGCTATGTGTGGATGCGAAAAGTGAAATAAGAAGAGATGCTCGGTGTATTCATTCAATAGCTTTTGTTTGTTTATCTATTTAAAAATTATAACATAACATTTAAAAAAAAAGGAACTTGAACATGAGGCTCAACTCTCTGCAGCATCTCACCTCAAATGCAACATCCAACGCCATGCACCTATCAATCATATCAAGTCAAAGTTTTGATTTATGTTACTCTTTTTTTTTTCTTTCTTCTAAATGATTTAATAACAAATATTAATCAAAAATAAAAATAAAAAATATTAAATAAGTTGGCTGATTAAACTTAGCACTATTATTTTACTTATTTTATTATTATTATTAGGCATTTTTTTATTATTATTATTTTTAGTTCAAATTACTATTATTATTTTCCTTTTAAAAATAAGATTCTTATTTTTCATATTTATTTATTTTTATCTCAAATGCAATATTTTACTATCTATTTATTTTTATTATTTAGTTTTTATTTTTATTATTATTCTCATTTTATTTATTTATTAATTTTATTTTTACCTCATTTATTAATTTTTTTTAAGTAATCATAATTAGCATAATAATAAGGAATAATTATAATTGACTTAATCTTAATATATATTATTTATTTTGCTATTTCATCATTTGCATCTTTATTTATTTATTTTCTTATTTTTTTTTGTGTATTTAGTTTTATTAT